TCGTTTGGGACCGTCCCCAGTGTGTAGGGCGTCGTCGCTCGCTTCATCGTCCGCATCGTATCTGCTGTCGCTGTGATCGTTCTCACCAGCGCCACCATTCCGCTTGACGTCACGGTTTCGGTCGCTGCCCTTGTCACCGCCACCGCTGCCATTGCCGTTGCAGCACTGTTGTGCCATCCAATGTGTGTCTAATCTTGGCTTCTGGGTTGTCTGCTGCTGCTGCTGCTGCTGCTGCTGTTGTTGTTGTTGTTGCTGCTGCTGCTGCTGCTGCTGTTGTTGTTGTTGTTGTTGTTGTTGTTGTTGTTGTTGTTGTTGTTGTTGTTGTTGTTGCTGTTGCTGCTGCTGCTGCTGCTCTTGTTGCTGCCTTTCTTCCAGTACTCGTCGACAAGCTTCAAGCAACAGAGCAAGGCCTCTTTGTTGACTACCGTGCTGCTCTTGCTGCTGCTGCTGCTGTTGTTGTTGTTGTTGTTGTTGTTGTTGTTGTTGTTGTTGTTGTTGTTGTTGTTGTTGTTGTTGTTGTTGTTGTTGTTGTTGTTGCTGTTGCTGCTGCTGCTGCTGCTGCCGCCGCCGCCGCTGTTGTTGTTGTTGCCACACGTCTTTGCCACGTGCCTCTTGTTGTCGATGGGGCAGGTGCTCTTGTCGACGGGGCAGCTGCTCTTGTGGAAGAGGGTAATTCGGCATTTGCCGTCTCGGTGACGGCGGTGATGTCGGGGATGCCGGCGACGGAGGAGCCCTCAACGCTTGCTCTTGGTGTTGCCCATGTTCGTGTTGCTGGTGCGGCTGCTCCTGCATTTCTTGCCCCTGCTGCAACAGCAGCAGTTGTTGTTGTTGCTGCTGCTGCTCTTGCTGTTGTTGCTCCAGCTGTTGGAGCTGCATGTCGTGTTGCGGGGTCACGGGGCGGTCAAAGTCGTCCTGCTCGCTTGAGCGAGACGGCTCGTCGTCACCTCTCCGACCAGAGCACATGTCTCAGTCGTGGTCTCGCTCGATGGATGTCGAAGACAGAAAGAGTGAAAGCGTAGGGAGAGGAAGAAGAGAAAATGACAATTGTGGCACTGCGACAAGCATACATCAACATTGCAACAACAATAACAACAACAGCGACAGTGTGTGCCCACAAACAAACACACACACAAACACACACACACACAAACACACACACAAACACACACACACACACTAACACACACGCGGTTGCCACCACAAGCAAGTCACCAACACAGTGGCATTGTTAAGGTGCAAACAGCCATGTCAATGCAACATTGTGCCTGTTGTCAGACACAATCTCTATTGTGCTCGACAAGTCCGGAATGCAGCTCACTAGCTCAGCACACACTCGCACAAACAGCAACCACAACAGCGGTGGTGGGCGCTTGCGCACTCGCTCCGCATCGTCGCTGTCTTGTTGAAAATTGTGAACGTGACTGTCAATTTTCCGTAACTGAAGCCGCAAACAAGCAAAGCAGAGGAGAAAGCAGAGAAAGATGTTTGCTGCGTTTGCTGGCGGTGGTGGTGGTCGTGATGATGACAATGGTAGTGGTGGTGATGAGACGCGCAGAACTGCGGGGAGGGAAGGTGAGCAGACCTTGGATGATGCATCACAGCAACAAGGCCAGCTGCAGCAACACCCACTCGAAGTCCAACGAGCGCAGTCGGTCGCGGCGCAGTGGGAGAATGCCACGTCGTTCCGGCCGCCTTCATCCAGATCCATGTCGTCCTCGTCCGCATCTTCCTCAAGCAGTGACGACAACGACCACGACGACGACGACGACGGCCGTGACGTGCACGGCGACAGGTACGTGCTGACATCCTTGCTCAACCCCATGTACTGTCTATCGCACACCAGTGCAGCAGTCAAGCACACGCAAACCAGACACAGACACGTGCACTGACACAGCCTTGCGTTTTACGGCGGGGCATGCGAACGTTCGTTCAGGCCACTGAAGCGGGCAAAGCAAACGTCTCGAGCTGAAGCAGAGCGAAGCAAGCCGAAGAAGGCAACGCAGAGGAAACACAAGAAAGAAAAGAAGGAGAGAAAGGCAAGGAAGAAGGAGAAGCGGAAGAAGAAGAAAGACAAGGAGCACGAAAAGCGCAGTAGACGCAGCGAGAGGAGGCACGGTGATGACGATGGCGATGGTGATGGCGGGGCTACTGCTGCCTACATCCGGAGTCAAAGCAGGCCCACCCAACAGATGTCAGCACACCAGCCCACGTTAGCACATCGCACGGCAGCCGCATCACGTGCCACCGATGACCTCTGGCGTATTGACGTCCGTGGTGACAAGGACAACATCACATACGACAGGTCCGTGCGCGCCTGTCTGTGTGTGTGTGTGTGTCTGTGTCTGTGTGTCCGAGTGTGTCTGTCTGTCTGTCTGTGTCTGTCTGTCTGTGTCTATGTGTCTGTGTTTGGTTGCATGTGGCTGCACGTGTACATTGTGAGATGCTGTGAGTTTCATCAACTCCAGGCGCGAACACCCCGCCCCCCCCCACCCTCTTGTTCCTTTTCGTTCCTGAACGTGACCCATGAGTGCTTGCGTTCCCATCTGCTTTTGCGCAGCATCTACAAGAAGGACATCAGCGCGTATTGGCGGGCGGGGCGTGGTGCTGTTGTCGGCCTCTCGTCTCCGCTCTGGATTGACGATGGCCGCAGCAAGGGCAGGTGTGGGAGCCTGAACCTTCGCGCTCGTGTGTGCGTGTGTGTGTCTGTCTGTCTGTGTCTGTGTCTGTGTATTATGTGTGCGTCGCTGGTGCGAGGTCGGCCGCGCTTCCGTACACGCACGTGCACGTGTGTATGTGTGTTTGTGTATGACACACGCTGTCATATTTGTTGTTCTCCCATTCACTTGTTTGTTTTTTCTTTTCTTACCTGGTCTTGCAGACCACCGCGCCATCTCCACTTTCGACGCATCCACGACTTTCGATTCGCCTCAAAGCTCAAGGACGCAGAGGCAAAGGTAATTGCATATGCATGCTTGTGAGGTCTGCTTGTGTCGCTTGTGCGTTTGTGTCGTTTGCTTCTGCTTATGTCATTTGACTGCTTTCTTGCTTCTGATGTGTGTGTGTGTGTGTGTGTGTGTGTGTGTGTGTGTGTGTGTGGTGTGCGGCACGTATGTGCATGCTGTTGATACGAGTGCCCCGCCGCCCAGCCCAGCAGGACGATGATGCTTGGAAGCCCTTTGCTCACAATCACCACCGCATGTGTCCATCTCGCCAGGTGACCTACATCACGCCGTCCGCACCAGAACCGCAATCAGCACCGTCTTCTTCAGCAAAGTGCGGCATAAGCACGTGCTTGCCCGCTCGTGTGCTTTGTACGCGTATTGGCAGTGGTCACGGCACCAACCTCGTTCACTTGATGCTGATGATCGCACTCACGCACGCAGCTGCCGTGATCCGGACAACACAACACAACAACACACAACACAACACAACAACACACAACACAACACAACACAAAAACACACAACACGTCACAACACAACGCCGTACAATCACCCCATGCAACACGACACACGATACAACGCACAGTTGCCCCACATGCTGAACATTCGTCCATCCATCCATGCACCCATTCATTCGATGCCTGCAGGCAGCATCCGCTATTTGTGGAATTGCGGTCGTTTGTTCCGCTGGAGGATCCTGGCGAACATAGCGACGCAGAGGGCGGTGTCGCACACGTGTCCAAGCACGGCACCCACGACGACAACGATGATGATGATGGTGATGGTGATGGTGATACGAAGGGGGAGACGAAGGAGGCGTATGTTCGGCGCCGGACAAAAGAGTTCAACGCCGCCCTTCGCCGCCATCCTGAGGACACCACCATGTGGCGCACATACATCGACTTCCAGGTGGTGATTGGTTGCTGGTGATTGCTGGTAGCGACGCGTAATGGTGTAGAAACGACGTGGTGTGCCGTGTGTCATCCATACTGCGAATCTCCAACCAACAGATAACTGACCAGAGCTCGTGCACACATGTCCAACGTGCCCACCTGTGCAGGATGACGTGTTTGCGGTTGAGGCAGGCCACTCGCGTAAGGCCGTGGCGCTGCTCATAGACCGCAAACTTGCTCTCTACGACGAAGCCCTCAAGCACAACCCGCACGACGAGGTGCTTGGCCGTCCCGCGGCCGTTTGTGCTCGTTTCCTCCCGTCTTGGTTGTCTTTGATTGTTTTGTTCAGCTTGGGTGTGTGGGTGTGTGGGTGTGTGTGTACCAGGTGGGTTGTGCAGGATACCACACATTGTCTGTGCGCCCTGCAGCTGCTGCCAGTCGCCTCGCCTGTCAGCTGCGCCGCTGTCCATGGATCCCTCACTGCATCACGTCATTCCCCCTGTACACTTTTCTCAGGATCTCTTCATCGGATACTTGGAGCTCTGCGCACAGAAGATGACGCCGGTGTGTGTGTGTGTGTGTGTGTGTGTGTGTGTGTGTGTGTGTGTGTATCTGTGTGCCTGTGCCTGTGTCTGCCTCTGTGTCTGCCTCTGTGTGTCTGTGTCTGTGTGTCTGTGTGTGTCTCGAATTGTCTCTCTCATTTGCTGAATTTGTTGGCGACCTTCAATCTGGCGGCGGCCCCGTCGCAGCTTCGACTCACACGGTCACATCGTGCTTGCTTGCATGCAAGGATGACTTGGAGGCGAAATGGACGAGAACCCTTTTCCTCCATCCAAATAAACACCGTCTCTGGCAGCGCTACCTCGGTGTGTACGTGTGTGTGTGTGTGTGTGTGTCTGTATGTGTGTGTGTGTGTGTGTGTCTGTCTGTCTGTATGTGTGTGTGTGTGCGTGTGTGTGTGTGTGTGTTTGCTAGGACGAATATGCCAGCTTTGAAACCCATGTTGTCTGCTATTTCCACCGTCAACACCGACCCCGCCCCTCATCTTAACCTCTCAATCAACCCCCTCCCCCCGCCCCCACTCAACCCTTCCAACCGAACAGCGCACAGCACTGCGCTCCTGGCCCGGTTCACGGTTTCGTCCTGCCAATCCAAGTTCCACAAGTGCATTGAAACGCTCGACGGTCTCAAGGTACGTGTGTATGTGTGTGTGTGTGTGTGTGTGTATGTGTGTGTGTGTCTGTCTGCCTGCCTGTGTGTGTGTGTGTGTGTGTGTGTGTGTGTGTGTGTGTGTGTGTGTGTGTGTGTTCTGTGTTTCACCTGGATTCGCACAGTCTCTCACCCGCACCCACCACTGCTGGCCCTGCCGTTCCCCATCCCCCTTCCCCGCTCTCTCCGTACACAGGAGGGATCGTTTGCAACGCATCACCTCGACAAAGATGTGGCTGAAGAAACGCTGCTGGATGTCGTTTTTGAGTCCTGCCACTTCCAAGCCAAGGTGCCGTGCATGCACACACACACACAGTGACATGTCAGCATTTCGTGTGTTTTCTTCCATTTTCTAACGATCTGTCGCTGCTCTCATTGCCTCCACCACTCACTCACACACCATCCACGCTCGTGCCCTCACCTGCTAGGCTGGATGCATGGAGCGCGCCATCGCGTGCTTGCAGGCACTCGTCGAATTTAACCTCTTCATGCCATCAAGGTGCACAATACACCCGCCTGCTGCTGACGTATGCTCTGTAGTTGCTGTGCGCGCTGTTGTTAAACATTCCTATCCTCACCTGTGTGCGTGTGTGTGTGTGTGTGTGTGTGTGTGTGTGTGTGTGTGTGTGTGTGTGTTCACAGGGTGCGGTCACCGCGGGAGGCGACGGGATTTCTCGAGTCGTTCTGGGAATCAAACGCCCCTCGATTCGGTGATCCAGGTGCGTCCAAAGAGTGTGCATGTGTGCGTATCGATGTGGACCCATCTTCCTGCTCAATACAACACACACACACACACACACACACACACACGCACACACACACACGCACACACACACACACGCACACGCACGCACACACACACACACACACGCACACACACACACACACACACGCACACACACGCGCACACATACACACACACACACCTCACCAAAGATGTTCGTGTTCGTGCACGTCCGCTGCAGGCGCGAGAGGCGTTGGCCATTTCATTGATCAGAAGCGTGCGCGCACCGATGTTCCTTCACTTCAGCAGCACCATCCGCCCACCACCCCGCCAGGTTCGTGCTGTGAACCTTCATGCACCCCCTGTGACGCAATGTCTGCACCTGCACCTGCACGTCCGCGTCTGCGTTTGTGGTTGTGGTTGTCATCTGCATTTGCCCTTGCCTGTATTCAAACACCTGAGTGTCTAATAACTGCTGCTGATGGTGTGCGCTCACCCTGCAAATTACATTCACGTCTCCCTGCCATGCGTCCCATCAGAGTTGAAAGGCGTGACGACGTGGGAGCGATGGCTGGAAGTTGAAACATTCCGCGAACAGCAGCATTGGCTGCCTTGGCGGTGGGCACATGCACACACACACTCACACACTCACACGCACTCACTCACACACTCACACACACACACTCACTCACACACACGCACACACACACACGCACGCACACACACATTTGTGCCCACGACTTGAATCCAACTGTGGCAACTCAGACGTACACAGTAGTGTTCAAATACACGCTGGTGCAATCGCACAGTGACTGTGCATTCACACACGTGTGCATTGTGTAATTCATACACGCACATGCTGTCCTCGTGCTCTTGTGTTTTGAATCATCTTCCACCTTCTGCAAGACCCAACGAGGAGGAAGGAGAGGAGGAGGAGGACTGTGAGGATCCAGACCGTTGCGTCATCTTTGACGACGTCGCCGGACATTTATTCCGCCTCTCCACCCCCGAATTGAAGGTCTTTCAGCTGACTTGGGGGCCTTTCTCCTCATACCTGCTCTGTGTGCGCACTTGTGTGTGTGTGTGTGTGTGTGTGCGCGCATTTGTGTGTGTCTGTGTGTGTGTGTGTGAATTTGCTAATTTCTGTCGGTCCACCAGCTCTCTCTCCCTCTCCAACAATCGAGTCCACGACCGCCTGCAACTGACGCGCCCATCCACTGCAACGGTACAATGCGATGTGACGATGCGATGCTCGTGTTCTCAGACGGATCTCGTGCTGGGGTTCGTCGACTTTCTCGGTGCGAACGTGCGCGCGCGTGTGTCATCGAACAGCATCTTCCACCTCAACGCCGTCAGCAGCGCCGTGTCCATGCCAGACACCTTCACGCCCCTCATACAACACCTCGGTGCGGCAGTGGTGTGTGTGTGTGTCTGTGTGTCTGTGTTTCTGTGTGTGTGTGCCCGTGATGTGTGTGTGTCTGGGTGTTTACTGTGTTGGAAAAGCGTGCTCCCGTTGTGCTGCTGGGAATCGGTGCATGTTCTGTGTTATTGCCTCGTCTCTCATCGTACTGACACCCCTTCCGCCAACGCCGCCACATTGCCCCACCCGACCACCCTGCTGCATGTCAGCCGGACTGAAGAGCCAGCGGGAGGAGTCGCTGCTGTCGTGGAGCAAGCGCGACCCAGGTCCATATCTCTACAACGAGCAGTTTGTGCTCAGACAGCGAAACGC